AACACGCGCCCGCGGGCAGCGGGCAGCGGGCGCCGTGTTTGCACCCAGCTGACGCCTCCCGGGCAGGTCAAACAGGCCGTCGGTCAGGCGGCGCACGAGACAACGGTTGCCCCCTGGCGGCGTCGGCCAATATCACGGCCCCAGACGACGGAGGACATGGCGGGACGACGGCCAACCCGGGGGACGAAGGGGAGGGGAGGGGGAGGGGGCGACCTCGGAGACGTCGCCGGCCGAGGCGCCCTGGGGGCCGGCGTTACGGAGATGAAGACTTCGGAGCGGTCACCGTGGAGGAAGTACGGCGTCCGAAGTGGCCCGGCGATGTGCGACGAGGAGTTCCACCGATGTCAGAAAGGTTGGAATATGGGCAGGGACGCTGGTGTCCAGTAGCTGTTACCCGCGCCCCGCGTCGACAGACTGCTATTATATTCCAACCCAGAGCTCGTTTTTGTTTGTAACGATAAAACACCCGAAATCGAACGGGGTTTGAAGCTGTTCGATTGTCTCCATCGATAGAGTTTACTCCATGCTTTCCCTGGATGATCTGAGGGTGGTTTGTGTTCGCCAGCAGGCGATGTGCTGCTCGCAGCGTCATCGATCTTCTCCAGCGCAGCATTGCCGTCCCATGGGATGGAGCGGACGCTTTTGTCATAAATGGTTTCGAGAATGTTCATATTCTCTAATAGACGGTGGCAGTCGTTTAGGTCAGAGCGTGGGCGCTTCCAGCTAGGGTCGCCTGAACACACGAGGACGCAGTCAGTGTTTCTGAGAAAGCTTAAACTTACTGAAAATGGTTAGCTGTGAATCCCAACGAAACGTGAGGTGGGAGCGATATGGCTATGAGATTCCGAAGGCTGGGGTTTGCGGCTTCAGTGTCCACTACATCTAACAATATTACGAATCACTGCAGATCATGTATCTAATATACTTAAATAACCGGCATGCTATTGCTTCTCACAGGAGCAGTATCAGTATCAGTGCATTGGAAACCATCCGCATGGTGCCTTTTACGTTTTCAGATCATGATCTTCAGTCAGGTAACATACAAGTGCAGTATCAAGAGCAACTCACTTAAAGTATACAATAAAATCATACGAGCAATGGTCAAAGAGCTAAAACAGACCTATCTATCCGCTGTGGGCCGGATCACATCAGTGGCCAGTGGTCAATGGTCAAAATCATATCGCGTATTGAGGGTGCGCTCAGTGTTGTGGCATCACGGGCGTTCCATGGCAGGCGGTTACACGCAGATGTTCCCCGATGAGAAAGCGCCCCCCCCCCCCCCCGTGTGGCGGTCAAAGCAAAGTTGATTATTTTTTATTGTGTGTACTTAACTCTTGGTCGCCCGACCCCACATGCACAGACAGCACGTGCTATGGGGAACACGTACGCCTGGACGATGATTTTGGGAGGATCTGAAGTGAGGTAATGGCGGAAGTTGTTTAAAGAGACGAGGATGTCATTAATTTTTTTCTTTTCACGACAGCACATTTCCAGCACGACGTAGCACTAGTCAAAGTATTATAGCCAGCAAAATATACAGTCTTCCATTGGAGTATGCTATGAAAAATGTTTGTGTTAGTGTTTACATCTGGTGCAAATGTTTGGAAATATTCATGTGCATGAAACGAGACAAATAAAATACAATCGCGGTGCGATTTCAGTGCGATGCATCAGTCTGATTTATCCGTGCCTAAGCCGTAGTTTTATGCGTGATTATCCCATCAGGGAAGATTAATGAGTAGATATTTCTGGCTAATTATCCTTGGACGAGATTAGCTAGCTTTCTGGAAACAATTCAGGAGGATAGCAAACTATTAAAGCTATCCAGGGTGGGTCGTTTTCGCTCTCGACAAACATTTAAGACCACACGGCGCCACCTTGAGGGTTTACTTTCACTCCTCATTATCGCAGGATGTAATTGCAGGCTGAAAGAATGAAACAATTATTTATATGTTGATCGTTTAGACGTCCTCTGCCATGTGATGGATGACATCACGAATCATGCCATACGCCTCAAGACCTCCGAACATTTTGAATGATTTCGATGCACCATAGAACCTTTGATAATAGTTGCATGTTGTTTTAGTTGCACTAGACATATATATATATATATATATATATATATATATATATATATATGTATATACTATATACCATACTATATCTCTCTAGATATATATCTATATCATTGTGTATGTACCACCAAGTGTTGGTACTCATGGTGTCTACCCCAATAAGTACTGACATCCTCCTTTGACCCGAATTTTAAGTAGTGTAGAGGGCTTGTTCGTTTTCCATCATGAAAACATAATAGCCTTAGGTTTTTGTCAGATCAAGATCATTATATTTTGTAGTTTGTTGAAATGGAACGAAACGCACATAAAATTCCGTGTGCCGCGTACGCCTTTCTTCACCGTCCGCTTGGATAGGTTTCTGCTATGAAGATAAAATGATTGGCTTTCAAATGCCACAAGTGATCACAACATGCTTGCGAAAAAAGCATTGTTTACGGGTCCTCTTAAAGTCGTGCAAATCGTATACCACTGAAGTTTTACTCAATCAACTCCTTATGCGGCAGATCTCTTGCTTGCAGGCAGATAACATTATAACTCACAACACACCTTACGCCACCACCACAGAGGGCAGGCTGGGAACGATCTACGGCGTGAGCAAGCCTCTGCCATAAGCTTAGGCGCACGTACAAGGTCCGTCTCAGGCTCCAGGTCTTCATGGTTAAAAGATTACTTAAGGCGCTAATTTATTTTGTGCAGGCTACGGGAGATCTCTGCGGTATCATTTCACGGGAAATAGGACGGAACCGGTTCCCGAAGCGCCGTCCGCCATTGTGTTGCTTTATCGATTACAGCTAAATGAGATCTGGTATCAATCTTTGTCCAAGTTTGCACGACACGTGTTCGTATCGATGCGTAGACATCGGTTAGCATCGATCACTGGAAACTTGTTGGTCGTCTGGGGGCGCATTATGATGGGACCTGGATATTGCTAGGGAAAATGTATCATGATACGTGGCTCGCTAAAGAATAAACTCGGCATACATTCCGCTACAAAAGTTTGCAAGCGGGCGCGGTCCTGTTCAAGGCCATGTAACACATTTGAAGATATTCCAGCAAGCATCAGATGCGACGAAATAAACTCACTTATAACTATTGGTATGCTTTCAGGTGGAAAAGACTACTCTAGACAGTATGATTTCTCTAACTGGTAAATATGCTCCGTAATGCGTCATTATTTGATTGCGTCATTTTGCCTCGCACAACATTGATTGAGAGCCAATGGGCGGCCGCTATATTTCAACATTGTGTTCACGAACGCCGGACATGAACGACAGGACAATTATATCATTTTTGGCCTTGATCGTCGCCTGGCCAATGAAATGTCAGGATTTGAATCACGTTATTATGACGTCATGGGTACATGAGTGACCTTGAAATAGTCTACACGAAATAGTCTGTACATCTTCGCAGCCGTATAGCTCAAAAGCTTAAGATGTTTAGGTCTTAAGAAGAGTTGGGTTATGAACGGAACCAAATGATCTTCAAGATATTCCAGTCCAAAACTCCATATAAATGTGGAACTATCCTTTTAAATGTACCGAGCCAAGTCTTTTGCTCTTGCTCAACGCAGAAAAGTTAAACTCCGCGGATACTATAACTTTTTAAGTGTTAAAGAATTCAATTATTATAACCCACATGTAATGAAATACGCACCGGGCACCGAGTAACTTACTTTCCATGGTCTCGTGATGACCCAACCCCGGTTATCATCGTCTAGAACTCTGCGTGATCCTGGTGGTCTCCAACCTCGCCATCAGCACTATCATTGTCATATCAGTCCCACCCGCGTCATTGGTCCCGATCCTCACCACCGGCCGTTACCTTCGAAATTGGTCCACATCTTCACCACTGGTCCCCACCCTCGCCACCAGTCCTCATTCTCACCATCTGTCCCACTCTCACCATCGGTCCACATCCTTTCCGTGTCATTATAGCGCCAAAACAAAAAGCTATAAAAAATCTACAAAGACATTCATCTCTGCAGTGCTCTTTTTGCCATGGGTGACATCAAGTGGTCCTATTTTTTATTCCAGGTACACATACGTAACCTTATCATAATACAGGGATGGAACGAAGCTAATGGAAGTAATATCTAGAACAGCATTGCACATAGCCAAAAGGCACCACAACAACCTTTGCAATTGCGTAGACAGCAAGGCCTATACGGCCTTAGACCGGTAGGTAACTGAATGGTGGCTGATTGCGCTTTCCTGCGTCCAGTAACGAGGCTTAGCTATAGGCTTAGTATAACTATAAAAGTCTTCATGCCGGACTTATAATTGCAATAGTCCCAATGCATTCAGTGCTGACATATACAGAATACCGACCAGTCTCGGCATCTTCATGCCGCATGACAAGTAAAAGATCGACGCAGAAAGCAAGCAGAGTGTTTGGTAAAAAACGAGTGAGCCATAAATGAGTGTGCGCCTTGCCCATGACCAACTGACGATCTATTCAAACGTGACGAGCAAAGACGAGCTCGTCCCTTGGGTATGCATCCGTGCTCCTCAAACAGCTGACGACATAGACGAAGCCAGGCCAAACTTTGCCGACCACCGTGCGTCGAAAACGTCTTCAATGCGTTTA